CTTCAAGGCGGGCGCCCAAACGCAGCAGTGTTTGTCCAGCTGGTGTCGAACGGCCGGAAAATCTGCGACGAAATTCACGCTGTGCCACCACCACCGACGAATTATATCGCAAAAAAATGGAAATAATTATCCGGCGTTCTTCAAGAGTATAGCGAATCCTGGCTTGTCGACATGTATTTTACATCTGTTTTCTTCAAATATGTCAAAACTGATTTGACATTTGATGTCATTTGCAAAAATTATTGCGTTCTCCAATAGGGTGATTACTTTTGCCTCACCCGTTAGTTTTAGTTGAAATAACAATATTTTTTGTATTTTTCATCTTAAAAACTATTAAATTATTAATTAATATGACTAAGTATATCATAGTAATTACAAAAATGACTCTTTTGTGTCATAAAACTGAAAAAAAATCTTCTAAATATTATTGAATAAAAACTCTTCTAAAAATCTTCTATGAAAAACTACTGCTATTTGCGAGTAAATTTTCGTAGAATATTTATTATTATAATATATTACTTACTTGTATTAAATCAACAAACACCCTTAGGACTCTAGTCTTAGGAATTAAAATTTTTAGGAATCAATAGTCTTATAAATCAATAGCCTTAGGAATAAAAATCTCACAAATCACCAATCTACGTAACAAACAAGCTTATTTTTAGGAACCACAGAGTTTAACAATCCTGCAGCCGCTAATCTCCCTGACTTGACGTTCAAAGGTAGTTTTCATTCTCAGGGTCTAATATCTGAATTTTCGGCTTGGATGTTATCCATGCCCTCGATCAAACTGACTAGCTGCTCGTAGAGTATGTTCTCTAAATCTAATACTACTATAAACATTTAACACAAACAGAAAGTACGTAACTGTAACGATTCAGTTAGGTTGCACCAAATGCACGAACCTCACTATTCTCCATACCTACACTTTGACACCTAATATAATATTTATGCAGTAATATCTAAATAAACTATTTTCTGGCATAAAGTGATAATTCCACTTTGCAAAAGTTTAATGTAATAGCCCCAAACACGTAAGATAAATAAATGAGATACCGCAAGACATCGAATTATAAAACAAACGGAATCACGTTTCATTGGTAAATAAACTTTGATTTTATTTCAATTTACATTCATTTAATACGGCTCAAGTTAAACTGGGTAAGTAAAATGAAACACTTGGACACTTGTCTATGCGTCTTGCTCCTATTAACTAGGTTTAACTAGTGCTGCGTCATAATCAAATTACCTGATTTTACCGTTTTATTTATTACGTTTATACAAACGAATAAGTAATGAATTGAATTGAAGATGTAATAAATTGAATACATTTCAAGACAAAGTTTAAGTAAGTTGATCTAGAGTAACTACTGCTCACTCTAGTGAGTTATTTTGTCGATTAACTTAAGCAGAAAAGACCTCAATATATAAATATCCTACTTAATCCATTTTATTCGACTTCATTATCAAACCTATTATGTCTTTACAGACTCAATATAGGTATTATTTTGTTTTCTTTGCAGAGTAACACATCAGTTCCATAAAATGCAAGACCGATACCATCATCGTCGTCTCAAAAGCAGTCGACATCAACTACACCAAGGGCAACTGAACGAAATGATACCGATCCTGAAACTCCTTCAAAGTTTCACTTTCCGATCAACTTTAAAAGTAATAATAAAGAAATTGGAGAAGAAAACTCTCATCAAAGTCGAAGACATAGACATTAAAAAAATTGGTGTACTTAATCAAGAAATCGTTCATCGTCAATATCTGAAATGTAAAAGGGAAAAATTATTAAAAAGAAATATTCGCCTGAATTGAGAACTTTCGCTCTCACATTGAATTTTTATTCATCAAAAGCGTACAAATATGTAAGAAATACCTTTAATACTTACCTTTCGCGTTTACCTACCACGCAAACACCAACAAAATGGTACCAGACTGTGGAAGGTAGGCAGGGTTTCATGAAAGAGGCTTCTAACGCCCTAAAAGTCAGAGCAAAAACATCCAAAGAAGAGTTGATGTATACCCTTGTATTCGATGAGATGAAAATAAAAAGCAAGATAGAATATAAACCATCAAGTCAACTTTCATTCGGCTCCGTGGATTTTGGTAGTCAACTGGAAACTGACTGCAATAAGGAATGCACAGAAGCACTAGTGCTTTTAGTAGTCCCATCCAACGGAAGTTTCAAAATACCAATTGGTTACTTCCTAGTCGATAAAACCGGTGGAGAACAAAAAGCTAACCTGGTATAAACATTGCTCTTGAGCTGTGCTATGAAATCAAAATTACTGTCAAAGCATTGACCTGCGACGGCTGTCCAGCAAACCTGGCAATGGCAAAGCAACTAGGATGCAAATCACAAAAAGAGCAGCTAAAGATGAGCTTTACACATCCTGTGACGAGTGCTAATGTTTTCGTATTTTTGGATCCCGTGCATATGCTCAAATTGATCAGAAATACTTTTGAAAAATATCAAGAATTTCAAGATGAGAACGGCAACACTATACGATGGGATTACCTAAAATTATTACAGGAGCTCCAAGAAAAAGATAATTTTCACCTAGTCAATAAGTCATGCGCTGAACACATTTATTTTAACCATTTAACAGGCACAATGTTCTGGTAGTGCAAAAAGAGAAGCGTTTTTGATTTTGGCTTGCATTTGAAGGTAGAAATAAATATCAATTTCAAAACTATTATTATTATTATTTCCATGGTGGTAAAATATTCCCGTTGCCCGTTACTGTTACCATAATTTTTAATATCAATTAATTTAGTTAGTCTTAATTAGTAAATTATAACACACAGATAGATCAATCAACTTTATTATACATGACTGACTGCTTATTATTTAATTACTTATAAGAATAAACACATATGAAAGAAATTATTTTTTATGAAATGCATAAAAACAAAGGGATGCACAGTGGCACTTTGAATTTCAAACACATTATTTTAGTGCGCTTATTATTATCTTTTGTACTGCAAAGACGACAGCGTTTATACGTTGACAGTGGAGAAGGCATATGGTTACCTTCATTTGTGTAAAGCACCTCTTCAGCCACTCTATGTACAGCTTTTTGAGTCTTTCTTTTCGGCGAGTCGTGCCGGGCACCAGTATTTTTTTCCTCACTACGTAATCGGCCTTAGTAGTACGGCTTTTTCTACTGGTAAAACCACTTACAAGTCCTCTGGCTACAGCCACGCGGAATTCGAGATGCGAAAGCTGTCGTTCTTATTGCTTAGAATAAAAGCATTAGTTATAGCACTGTCAATCAGGAAATAAAATATCCGGTCGGATAATAATCCTCTTGCTCCTTCGCCCCGCTGTATACCTAGGCTGCACTAAAAGTATCGGGAATGGAATATTTCCACTGTTCCTGTCATATTAAAATCTTTTTAATTGAAAATTCCTTGGTTTTAAAAATCGAATACCATTCACTTATTTAAAAAAAGATTCTCGGACTTGTCACAAGGTTTTGTCAAACTTGTTTAGTCGTTGAGAAAATGGAATTGACTCGAGTAAATTCAAGAGCGATGATTTATTATGACTTTCGAAGTGGTTTAACACAAAAACAGTGTGTTGACCAGATGATATCTGCATTTGGTGATGAAGCTCCATCCAAAACCACAATTAATCGCTGGTTTGCTGAATTTCAACGTGGACGTGTCAAGCTCAGTGATGATCCCCGTCAAGGTCGTCCAAAAACTGTAGTCACCCAAGAAAACGTTGATGCTGTGCGTAAGCTGATTGAGGAAGATCGACATGTGACATACCGCGAAATTCAGGCAACTTTAGACATTGGCATGAGTTAAATACAAATAATCTTACATGAACAATTAGGTGTAAAAAAGTTGTTTTCCCGATGGATACCGCATTCGCTCTGTGAAGAGCAAAAAGCGACTCGAGTTACTTGGTGCGTCAGAACTCTCGAAAGATTCCACGCAGGATCCTCAAATGCTGTATACAACATCGTATTAGGTGACGAATCCTGGATATACGCGTACGAACCCGAAACAAAAAACCAGTCACGAGTTTGGGTGTTTGAAAATGAGTTAAAGCCAACAAAAATTGTTCGTTCACGGAGTGTTGCAAAAAAAATGGTGGCCACGTTTGTTTCCAAAACCAGCCATGTTACGATTATTCCTCTTGAGGGACAAAGAACGGTTGATGCAGAATGGTATGCTAGCATTTGTTTGCCACAGGTCGTTTCTGAACTCCGTAAAGAGAACTGCAACTGCCGCATCATCCTCCATCACGACAATGCGAGTTCTCACACCGCACACAGAACAAAAAGAGTTTTTAGAGCAAGAAAACATAGAATTGTTAGCACATCCGCCGTACAGCCCCGACCTAAGCCCTAATAATTTCTATACTTTCCCTAAAATAAAGAATAAATTGCGTGGACAGAGATTTTCATCACCTGTAGAAGCTGTGGACTCCTACAAAACGGCCATTTTGGAGACCCCAACTTCCGAATGGAATGGTTGCTTCAATGATTGGTTCCATCGTATGGAAAAATGTGCCAAATTTCGCGGAAAATACTTCAAAAAGTAATAAATACATTTTTAAATAGTAATGTTGTGTCACTTCCTTGATTCCCGAAATTTTTAGTGCCGCCCTCGTATGTACTTTTCAAATGGTCGAATCGGTCGACTCCACCCATTCTCGCTGTATATTCCTTCGTGATATGGGGCATTTCACAAGTTCTGTAGAGCCATCTTTCTGGGTCCTTGAAATGCTAGTTTGATTAACTTTAGGGTGGAATACATTGGTCATGAGAAGAACCTCTTTGTTATCTTGCCATACGACAAACGCCACATTCCCCTTTACTCGCCACTTGAATTCTCCCTTCGATAGCCGTAGCTTCTTACTTTTGTCACCTTTTATAAGAGCTGGCATATCAGCTCTTTGCTTACACACTGTACCTGTGGCATAAATTTTGTTTTGATACAAAAACTCCAGGATTTTATAATCGCAAAAGAAATTGTCAAATGTTATATGCACGTTCTGTACTTCCTTCTCTATTAGTTTCTTGGTCAGTTTTTTTTACTACATTTGCTCCTAATCCTTCTTCCACTGAATTTGAAGTTTTGCCTGTGTAAATATCAAACTCGTAAAGGTAACTTGTCTGGCTGTCACACCGACACCAGACTTTGTACCCACGCTTTATGGGCTTGAGAGGCATGTACTGTTTTGGGAATGACCGCTCTTTGAACAAAATCATGGACTCATCAATGCTTTGCGAACAAGATTCCTCTGCATTATCTTGACAGGCTTGGTTAAACAAATGTAATATTGGACGTACTTTGTACAACTTATCGTAATCAGGGCTGTCCTTTTTTGGCTGTTTTGTATTGTCGTTAAGATGTAGACATCTTAAGATGTATCTTAAGATGTAAGATGTAGATATCTTAAGATAACTACAGTGGAAGAAGGATTCTTTATCGGCAATTTCATTCACTCTAAATCCAGGATCAAAAGACCAGTAAAAGTCTATGAATGGCAAAATGTGATGGCCCATCATAATTATTACGCCAAAAAGGCTTTTAGCTCCGGAAGTTCAAGTGGCGATCAGTTTTCAATTTTCTCTTGGGCAGCATATAAATTTGTCAGATAAATAATTTGCTCATATACTTCATTTGAAAAAAAAACTTTTCAAAGAATCGTAATGGCCTTGTCCTGTTGACGACTTTTCGTTTTGGTGCTAATGGGGTTTCATCAAACATTTCAGGTTTTGGTCTGTTAGCCCAATTAGCCGTCGGATTGATCTTTATCAAATTCACTACTTGTATCATCAAGAACAGAAGAGGAGGTTAATGTAGACGATTTGACAGTATTACTAGGACCAGTCGAAGGTCGGGATCCCATTACTCGGCTTGAAGATGAACCAGGAATACAAATTTCTTGAACTGAATACAAAGGCTGGCAGTCGAATTCAGTTTCCGATACAGATGGTTGAGAGCTATTATGGCTTTCCAAAAACGGTGTAGAAATAGTTTCTGTGTCGGCGTCGAGACTCTCCAGAATGCTCTGAAGTTTGACTGTACTGTATTGAGTTTCTCCTTCATCATCTGACTCCAAATCATCCTCAGAATGTTCAGGACTTTCAGGAAAATCAAAGAATTCTTCAAGGGCTTGCTCTATTTCTGAATCTGCTAATTTTTTCCAACTCATCTGCAAAAATAAAAAGTAATAAACCAAATTATTTGCATACTTATTCAAAAATATTTCCTCTGCCCATTGTGACCCACAACGAGCAGAGGGAATATTCTTCCCACCACAAAACAGCAATATTGTGAAAACCCATAATACATAATCAACGAAATATTGGTCATATCTTTTAGAAAAAACATACAAGAAACAATAATAATGAATTCTTACCTCCCAGCACTTACAGATCCTCGAGATTTGAAAAGATTTACAAAGAAGTACAAAAAAATGCCGATTTTTTACGATCAACCGTCCACCGTGAAAACTTTTCAACTGACAGGTGACGTTTTCTAAACTTCAAAACAATGGTTGATATGTGTGTAGTTGCCAGCGTAAAATTGTATTTTTTAGTTTTAATTTTTTTTCTTTTGTCCATAGATAATAAGGTGGTAAATATATTCCCTTTGCCTGTTAAAGGGTATCGAGGATAAATGTAGATATCTGTGGGCCAGAGCATTCACTTACCATCAGATGGATTGTGTGATCGTTAGTAACCCTTATTCTATAAAAAAATAAGGATGACAAATGTGTATAGAATCCACCTTACGGCAAATGGTTGCTATGGCCCATACACTACTACGTTTTTCCTTTAGGAGGCGTTTACACCTTATAAAACCAAGACGAAATGTCCTAGGTTTCTAGTGAAAAGAGTCTTCAGTTCTCTACGACATACAAAACATAGCAACATCGAGCTGCTATTTTACGCTGGTGTTCTGTAAAAGTGTGGTGCTCCCTCAGTCGAGCCGACACATTCGTGCTACGACCATAACATAGCTGCAGCCTGGCTCTACCACGTGTAACACGTGTTGCGTGTAACTCGAACATAGCTCAACCTATCGGGCCTTTATCTTGTGACTTTATTTTCTGTCTGCTCTAATCTTTGGAGTGGCTGAATCGATCATGATAAAACTTCTGGAACAGATAAGCTAAAAATGCCAGCAGTGAACTAAGTTGTAGTTTAACCGAAAAGCTTGGCGTTTTCTTTTTAAAAATTAACATTTAATGGAAACCAACCAGGCGGCCGGGGCTGGGCGCTGGTTAAAATGTAAAGATTTCACTTTAATTTGTGAACAGTTTAGTCAATAATAATTCAATTTTGAGAACCATGGCCCACTTTACGAACCAATGATCACGAAACCGAAATTTTACTTCAAATTACCAATTGGTAGTTTAAAGTAGCATGCGTATAGATGGGTAAACGATAAAATTAAATTACTTAAAATACAAGGTAAAAACAATTTATTTTACATAAATATTGGTACATTTAGGTTGTAGAGCCACACTGCAGTTATATTATTAGTATAGTTGTAGCACGAATGGGTCGGCTCGACCGGGGAAGGACCACGCTCTAACAGAATACCAACGTGAAATAGTAGCTTAATGCTGCAGTGCTTCGTATGGTTAGTGTAGAGAACTGGAGACCTTTTTTACTGGAAACGAGGCATTTCATCTTGATCCTCAGGGGTGACCACGCATCTGCCGTATGTAATTCTGCCACAGCAACCACTCACCATCAGGTGGACTGTGTGCTCGTTTGTCACCCTATCCTATAAAAAAACATAACTTATAAAGAAATAAAATCTATACATAAATTCTTTTAATTAAGTAAAAAACACATAAATTAAAAATGGTATTTTACAAAATTATATCGTATGTAAATCTTAACTTAAGTAAAAACACTTGCTAAATCATCGATGTCTGTTGGTAGTGTGCCCAAAATAAACGCTAAGTTGCCTTAAAATTAAATGGCTTAATTACTCAATTTAATTTTACTAAACATAACTAAACGCACGTTTCTCATAACTACTCAAGCGTACGTAAACTAGCACTCAAATAACTTAACATTACCAGTGCGAGGCTGCCCCTTTAGAATCTTTCTTCCCCATCCGTAGTCGGTTCGATGAGCTATAATGCAGGCTCTTCCTACTTTAACTTCCTGATCCGTGCATAATATAATACTACTCATTAATAGATTAGACATTCCGAAACTTAAAGCGCTTTACTTCTCTTATTAGTTATTCTCTTAGTTATTAAATGAACGTGATAAAATCCTTAGTATTCGTGTTGGGTTCTTTTAATGTTCAATTGCTCTTGTGAAATGAAAATATTTTTATTATAATAATGGTGACATTTACTGGCCGTAGGCGGGTAAAAAGAATTCATTACGCCCCTTGGGTGTCATAAAAGGCAACTACGAAAAAAGGCAGAAAGATCTACACAGTTATATTATGATTGTAACACGAATAAGTTGGCTCGACCAGGGAAGGACCACGCTCTCATAGAATACTAGCATTAAATATAAGTTCAATGATGCATATGCATCTTAGTAATCAGGGGTGATAACGCAACGAAATCTGCGTTTTGATTCTTAATCGTAAACAGACGTAAATAATGTATATAGGCCACAGCATCCACTTACCAACTGGACTAAGTGTTCGTTTGTCCACTTTATCATAATCCATACTACTCGTAATATTATAAATGCGAAAGTGTGTTTGTTTGTTTATTTGTCCATTTTTCACGTCGCAACAGAGCGTTGGCATGGCATGATTTTTGTATGGAGATAGTTCGGGGGCTGTAGAGTGACATAGGTTACTTTTTCCGCGGAAAAACATCTCATTCCCGTGGGAAAATAGAATATGTTGCAAAGGTTTGTCCTTCTTTCACGTCGCAAAGGAGCATCGGCATGGCATGAACTTTGATATGGAGATAGTTCGGTGGCCGTAGAAAAACATCTCATTCCCGTTCCCGTGGGAAATATTCTATTTTCCCACGGGAATGAGATGTATTTCCGCGGAAAAAAGTAGCCTATGTGACTCTACAGTCTCATTCCCGTGGGAAAATAGAATTTGTTGCAAAAATTTGTCCTTCTTTCACGTCGCAATAGAGCAACGGCATGGCATGATTTTAATTTTGTATGGGGATAGTTCGGTGGCTGTAGAGTGACATAGGCTACTTTTTTCCGCGGAAAAACATCTCATTCCCGTGGTAAAATCGAATATGTTGCACAAGTTTGTCCTTCTTTCACGTCGCAACAGAGCGTCGGCATGGCATGATTTTTTGTATGGGGATAGTTCGGTGGCTGTAGAGTGACATAGGCCACTTTTTTCAACGGAAAAACATGTTATGCCCGTGGGAAAATCGAATATGTTGCAAAATTAAATTCAGCTAGGTGGCGCCACCGTGATTCTACAAGACGGACGACGGTACGATGGACGAACACAGAAGGTCAGAATATCTGGATTATTACGTCTTTTTACCAAAATTAAGATAAAAATGTATGGACGTGTATTTCTCCACGCTGGACCGGGAAGAGAGCGATAAAAAACATAAAATTCACCAGCTGATTTCCTTCAAACGTTTTGGTGCATTGTAATTCACAGAATAGGCGATAACCTCGCAGACGATATTAAGTAATCCGTTGATGCTCTGCCTACCCCGCAAGGGTTACAGGCGTGATTATAAGTATGGATCAGAAATACTATCACCACCTGTCACGCTTTCACCCTTAACTATTACTTAACTGTGGTAGAAACAGTTCTTAGTAAGCCTTATTAATAAGCCTTAGTAATATTTATTGAACGGAAATGAATACAGTTCTTATATGTGGTTATGAATGAATCGGTATTACAATAAGAAATATTGTGCAAAATTATAAGAAAAATATTTTTGAGAGTTTTTATTAACTAACGTATACTTAGTTTAAATTGATTCCGCTAGATTTCGTTACTAGGTTTTTAAAACGCGGTAACGAAATATTTCCTGACATGTACTTAACTCCCGCCTTTGAGCCGCGCGTCAACTTATAGTGCATACGGTACCTATACGCTTAAATTGTTTCTATTTCGTAGCTTATTCGACTACCTGCTTTCGATTTAGTTTGTTTGTAATAACAAACTGCTTTGTGATTTGGTTAAGGTGAATGGATTTATATTGGCTTTCATTTTCGGATCTGTGTATTGTCTTCTATCGGTTTTGTCGATTTGGTTGGTATTCCTTTGTACATATTTAGACTCTGGCTTTGATTTTGGATTTTGTTTATTTAGAATCGTGAATTGGTTTTCGTTGTTTTAGGCTGTTTAAAAATATTTTAAAAGAATATTAATAGTATAGATAGTGTATACGGTACCTATACACTTACTTCTTTTTTCGTTGGTTATATTTATATTGACTACAAAGCTGCACTGAAAGTATCGGGAATGGAATATTTCCACTGTTCCTATCATATTAAAATCTTTTTAATTGAAAATTCCTTGGTTTTAAAAATCGAATACTACTAATTTATTTAAAATAGATTCTCGGTCTTGTCACAAGGTTTTGTCAAACTTTGTTAGTCGTTGAGAAAATTGAAATGAATCGAGAAAATTCAAGAGTGATGATTTATTATGACTTTCGAAGTGGTTTAATCCAAAAACAGTGTGTTAACCGGAATATTTCTGCATGTGGTGATTAAGCCCCATCCAAAACCACAATTTATCGCTGGTTTGCTGAGTTTCAACGTGGACGTGTCAAGCTCAGTGATGATGCCCGTCAAAGTCATCCAAAAACTGCAGTCACCCAAGAAAACGTTGATGCTGTGCGTAAGCTGATTGAGGAAGATCGACATATGACATACCGCGAAATGCAGGCAACTTTAGATATTGGCATGAGTCAAATACAAATAATTTTGCATGAACAATTAGGTGTAAAAAAGTTGGATACCGCATTCGCTCTGTGAAGAGCAAAAAGCGGCTCGCGTTACTTGGTGCGTCAGAACTCTCGAAAGATTCCACGCAGGATCCTCAAATGCTGTATACAACATCGTATCAGGTGACGAATCCTGGATATATGCGTACGAACCCGAAACAAAAACCAGTCATGATTTTGGGTGTTCGAAAATAAGTTAAAGCCAACAAAAATTGTTCGTTCACGGAGTGTTGCAAAAAAAATGGTAGTCACGTTTGTTTCCAAAACCGTCCATGTTA